CAAGCGGCCGCGTCACAACTAAATTAACAATTAAAAACTTAATTTCGTATTTCCTAAAGTAAACGAAAGACGAATAATCTAAATTTAAGTGATAATTGAAGTTTAAATAAAAATTTAACAGATGATATTTACTTATGTCCTTGCCCTGATTATTGACATTGAAGTTTTTGTATTTTCGCACATACGAGGTGTGATCAGAAAATAACCGCCATTTTCAAATTGAGTTACGTATATTTGGTGCACATGTCTGTTATATATGTTGGCGATTTCAGCCATTTTGGATTGTCATTTTGTTTATGACAGATAAAAAGGTTAGTCGTGCGTTTGGCTGTGCTCTTCGATTTTTTACCATTCGAAGAAATGGATCAAAGAAACTGTATTAAGTTTTGTGTAAAAATGAAATTAAATGCGCAAGGACATTTGAAATGTTGACTGTGGCGTTGGGTGAGTCTACTATGAGAAGAACAAAGTTCAATTGTGGTATAACCGGTTTAAGAAAGGCCGAGAAGATGTCAATGACAATGCTTGTCCTGGTCGCCTGAGCACGTCAAGTTCGTTAAAATGTGTGCTCACTGTTTTCTTCAACTAAAATGACGTGGTGCACCATGAATTATTGCCACAAGGTCGTACGGCCAATAAGGAATACTATCTAGGAGTAAAGCGCCATTTGCATGAAGCAATTCGTCAAAAACGCACAGAATTGTGGAAAAAACAATCATGGATTTTGTACCATGATAACGCATCAGCTCACACATCGATGTTTGTGCGTGAGTTTTTGGCCAAAAACAAAACCGTTATCATGCCTCAACCAGCGCATTCTCTCCCCAAAACTGAAGACACCGATGAAAGGAAAGCGTTTTGCTACGATTTAGCAGAAAAATCGAAACAGGACCTATTGAGGAGGATAATGAATAATTAAATGCTTTTTGAAAAAATTGAAAATAACGGTTATTTTCTGACGTGATACGGCTAAAGTTTTCATTATTTCAATGGAAATTACCATCATATCTTATATCTGATCTGTTTGCGCCTTACCATCCCTGTTCCCTTAAGCGGTACGCGATGGGCGCCTGCCCAGCGTCGGATGTCTCTTTCGGCATTGGGTAAAGAACATTTTTTTAACGAGCCTAGTGATCAATTTGATTACATTCGACATTCTCTCCAACCTACTTAAGCACCTAAAACCTAAGCGAAAGAGGATTAATTTAAAAAGAATATAAAAATATACTTGTGGGGATATATATTTAGAAGTCACTTTGTTTATTTGTTGATACAAAGTTTTATTTAACACAAATGAATTGAATATTTGCTAAAGACAACTTCAACGTCGGTGTGTCTTTGTAGTCGCGCGGTACTGTCGTGTTTCTCAGTTCGTTAGTTCCATTTCAAGTCAGAGTTTACGTGTTGTCAGTTTCAGTGTTGCATTCGTCTCTCATAGCCACTTTATAATGTCATAATATCCTGTTCCAACATTCCCATTCATACAGCTGTTGACAACTAATTAGAAATGTCCTCTCCTTGTAAGTGCTTGTTAAGCATAATTGTAGAATTTGCAAATTTACCGTTATATAGTTTCATTGTTTTTGTTACTTTTTTTACTGCTCAATGCCCTCAGATTTGTAGTATTGCATTTCAAGTAATATTATTATTTTGCAACTTTGGGCATGCATTACTTGGTGTAAAGTAAATAAAGTACGACAGTTAATTAGAAACGATTGTTTAATAGCAACATATTCATAACGGTTCATTGTTTTAGTGAAAATATTACGAATTTTTGATAAGCAATTATTTAAAATTTTCTATTAAAAATCAAATAAAATTTTTATCTCAAGATTTGCGATGGGGAAAAAGCAGCAGCAGGTGTACACCTGCATTACGCCCTCGGAAAACTTAGGCAGGATTAGATCACAGAATGATAGTGATCTCACGAAGATATCCAAAAAAAAAGGGAATTCCTCGAACATTCAACGTGAAATTCACGTTGATTTCACTGTTCCAACATCGAAAAAAATAATTGCACGGTCTGGTCGAATCTGGATTTCATCGAAAAGCAGCACGCAAGAAACCGCTTCTGACCAAAATCCAAAGATATCGACGTGTAGACTTTGCCCATTCTCATTAGATCCTAAAGCAGTCGAAGTATGTCATTTGGAGCTATGAAACGAAAAATAATCGCATTGGTCCTGATCGTCAGAGATATGTTCGACGTCCCATTAACCATGAATTTAATGCTTAGTGGAGGATATCTTTCCTTTAATAGTGTTGGTTCACTCTATAGGAAAAATGGAATGTGAAATAAGGAGAAATACGTCGTCATACCAGAAAATGTCATGTTGCCATGGACTGAGGAGAACTTGCCTGTTATATGACAAAGTCAACAGGATAACGGTCCAAATCACATTGCAAAGCTGACGAAATAATTTTTTTACGAAAATTCCGTCAATGTTTTAGAATGGTTATCATCCAGTCCAGACTTGAACTCTCTGGGGTAACATTACAAGAGTTGTTAGTGTTAAAAATATCATAAAAATGGATGTCCGTTTTGAGGAAGTAAGAACGGCATGGCAAGCAATATCAGTGGCGCGCTGTCGAAATCTTATAACATCAATGCGAAATCGGTGTGCGTCAGTGTTGAAGCAGAAGTGTTATGCAACCAAATAATTTAAGCCTTCCCTAGTACTATTAGAGCGGGGAAAATTGGAACCACTGAGGCAAATCACACCGCCAACTAGAGAAATACCTCCAGCGACTACTTTACAGTAGATCCAAACTCAGAAACACCTCGCCATTGTAACATCAGCAGAATAAAAACAACAACAATGCCTTCAGCAAATTGTAAAGATTTAAGCAATTAAACTTATTTATGTTGGTTTAATTATAAATATGACGTGAAACAAATATTAAAAATAAAATAAATTCTTTTATTGTGATTTTATTTATTGAATTTATTTATTTTATTCTTTATATAATGATTTTTGCAGTTCCAATGGTCCTAAGGTACAGTAAGTATGCCTTAGTTTTTTCCCAACGGTCTGTACAATATAAAGGAAAGCTTTTCGATTTACTCGTATAACGAAGATGGTATTCCTTGCTCTGTTGTCTGTGCTGTCTGGGAAGTAGCGAAAAAACTATCAAGCTTGCCAGACTGGTACTTTGTTACTCGGTAAAACGATAATTTATTAATTTTACAAAAACAAAATTCAATCCTACCCAATAATGATTAATAAATTAACAAAACCAGAGTGAATACTTCTTAATATATTCCCGCTGGAAAAGACAAGGAACACACTCGGGGGTATTCTTACAGACCAATAAGCCTACTACCTTGTCCTTCTAAATTATTCGAAGAAATTCTGAAAGATATCTCCTATCCTCCATTAAAGCAGAGTGACACCAGAACCCCAATTCGGTTTTCGTGATACTGTAGCACGAGCCAACTGAATTTCTAATGAAATTGGGAAGACTTTCGAGTTCTAAGGGGATTGCTGTTCCTTAACGTAGCTCATGCGTTTGACAAGGCTTGGCGTAAAGATTTCTTATATATGTATATACATACCGTTAAAACGGTTTTCGGCTGAGTTCGTACTATAATTTTTATTAGCGTCTTAATTTTCTAACCAATTGAGGGACCTACAGTTTACTCTAGGCCTTCTCCGAACGGCCGATGGATTTTTATGAAGGGATTTTATTTTATACCCAGAGGGACTAACATTCCTTGCCGAGGAGGGACCGTAATTAGGAAAATAAATTTTCTGTAATTTTTGATGTAGGTCGAACCAGGACTTGGAGGGTTCAATACAAAAAATTTATAAAACTTTGGCTATCTAATTGGACAATATATTTGAGCCATATAACCTTCAGTTAGGTTTGCCGTAAAGCAATCGGAATTTCTTACGTAGCTTCGGGTAAAATCTGGTGTTCCTCAAGAACGAGATCTTGGGTTTTTAAAGTAAAAGAGTTTACTTTCGTGACCGCCACTTTAAATGTCCTAGCAAAGCATCGAAAACAATTGGGGAACATTTACTTCTCATCGAAGAATATCTGACAAACTGGAGAGTTAAAGTATATTTTATGTCCAAATTTTTAGTAACAAAGCTCACTTGGAAAAGACACGATGCCAAAATGCCAAGATGCTAGCTCAAATTGGCGTTTACATTAGAACTCTGGTCTAAAACAAGATTACAAAGTACTCATTAAAAATGCAATTATAAAGCCAATTCTGATGTATGGGGTTCAACTGTGGAGTATCACCTATCTAACTAATGGGCCCCCCATGACTTCGGTGACATAGCTTGATTTTAAACTCTGCCCTAAGCGTGGTTAACGTAGCCGCTACAATAATAACAACCTAGGCAACTGATATTGAGAAAATATAGCGGTTTTAGTACAAAATTCTAAGGGTAATAACGGGCGCATGGTGGTACGGTCGTGGCGTAAATATACACAAATACCTTGGTATCCTACTGGTTAAGCATAAAGTTGAAAGGAGCACAACGGAATACCTCGGCCCAACCCATTAACTAACTCATGTGTGGAATCTATGCAGAAATTTCTCACTGCAGCGAAAATAGGTTCCCGTCTACTAATGAGAGGTCCATAGTTTGAAAACGGCATTGGCTTCATAATTGAAAATGTGAATGGCTAAAGAGAAATTTAAGTTAATATTTTCAATTTAACTGTGGCTTGGAAATATATAATCCCATTACTCTGAAATATTTGCTCGGACAAGCCTTACCTACAATATTTTGGCATGAGGAGATTTACCTTTATTTTCTTTCTTTTTTACATCTCGTACTCTCAAAGGGATTAAAAATTAAACTAAACAACATTATCACAACTTATATAATATCAAATAATATTATTCATTATAATCTTGAAAAGGTGTAGAGTTAAAATTATTGTAATTTTTATTTTTCAACTTTTTCACATTTATAATATACAATATATATGTATGATATACGAGTACAAATTTCATATGTTATATGTTTTTCTACTTTCAGTTTGATGAGAATGCCTGTGGGACCATGCGTTCTAGGGACAAATTCTTCTCTTCTGTACGGGCAAACTCCTTGGTAAGTGTAAAAGCAATATCTTTAGGTTCTTTTTAAGATACCAAATACCAAACCTGAAGCAAGAATACACAAAAAATACACCGATTTTATTAGCACTCGGTACCAGCAATATCTATGATCAGAGTTTATTTTGCGCAACTTTCTTGTGTTTTCATGCGTAGGCATTGACTTATGACACTTGAATACGTATGTATGTATATATGTATGTATAAATAAATAATTTCATTAAAACAATTGGACGAATTGAGTTATTTAATATTAAATTTTGCTATATGGCGTGTATTGGGTTCTGTAATTCAATTCCTTGAATCGCCAAGTGTCACCCACGTGAATGTAGCACTCTTGAGTATATGAGTATTTTTGTTTATATTCCTTTAAAAGTGCAACACATAAATCTAAAATTCACAATGGATAATTAAAATACGTTATTTAATTCCCCGATGGCTAGGGCTCTAAGGGTAAATAATTTAAAAATGAACTCAATGCTGTGGAACAACCGCACACGCGTATAGACTACTATCAACCAACTATTTGTATTTGTAATACATATTTTACCATATTTCTTCCACTTTTAGCAATTCTGTTCTCTTTGTTTTAATTAAATTACTAAATATCGCATAATTAGGCCTAATTTTTCAAACATTCAAATAATTTGTGCGGAACCTGTCAACAATTCCGCGATATACTTCATTTCAATTAATATTGCTGAACGTTTGAGCCAAGTGTAAACAACCCTTATTTTTTTAAGTTGTTAGATTTCATTCATTGACCACTTATTGTTGTACAACAAATTCAGATGCTTATTCATTTAGTAAGATACGAGTATCAAAATCCAGTGAACGATGACGAAAAATTCAGGATAATACAGTGCTGGCATTCAAAAGAAAAAAAGCAATAATAAAAATAGCACTTTCTTCGGAGCAATATTTATATACGATATATACGTGTATGTATGTACATATAAGCTCTACTCCACCTAAGATGTGGGCGGTGCCCAACAAATTCTAAATACAATACAGGCACATTGAATCAGAAAAAGTCAACAGCAATAAAATATCCATTATGCTCCATAATGATATTCATTGCTTGGGCTTAGGCCATCATATTTCTTGTATGATTTCTTATGGACATCGCTATTGAATTACGGAAGTTTGTAGCGGTGTGTGCCCATTAAGTCGCCAGTAGTTGAGGCCCACCACTATTCGAATTGTGTAAATGGTATTTACATATTTAAATAAAGTGCCCACTAATAAAACCGAATATTATTTTACTTGTATACGTGATTATATCAACAAGAAATTCTCGAATAAATCAATATATTTTGTTATACAAATCAAATTTATTTGACCCAAAGGACAATTAGTTTACGCATGTATGGGTGTACATACTGCTAGTACATACATACATATGTGAATATTATACGTGTATGTGAAACTAAATTTTGTATTCAGCAACCTTTCACTGCTGAGCGCAATTAAATTACTTAATTTCTTCTATTTTCTTAGCACCCTCATCAATAGGGATAACTTTTCTGTTACCATATTTTCCTCATTTTGTTTTAGAAATTGCTAATCCAGTTGGGACGAAAGTATCTACTCTAGCATCAAGAATTACAAATTAATTGCATTTACATGTACAGATACGTATGTAGGTATGAATGTGCAATATTAATCAAAAAGTAAGAATATGTGGACATAAGTAGAAATACGAGTACACACTCTATTGGAAGTTGGAAATGGTTGGATGTAGGTATTTCGATGTGTTGATCATATAAAACGTATTCGAGGCGAGTCGAAACATGATGAGGCGAAATTTTTCTCAACATTTAACTTATTTACGCATACCTAATTTCTGATGCAGCAAACGAGTCTTCGGCATTACATTTTATTTGAAGTTTGTGAAACTTATTAAGCAACAAAAAAGCTCAGGCTTTCACTTGACACAAATTCTTTAATGAAACTATATCAGTTTATATATAGTATGTATGTATGTATACTAGAGTGTCAAATGTAATTAGTTCGCAGATAACTGCCTACGCTAAATTTTTTATGCGCGGAAATTGAGAACATTGAACTCTTTATGCACTGAAGACAAGATTTCATTTCTATTAAGAATGAAATCAAATTTATTTTGATAACTGCTTTAATGTATGTCCAAATGTTTACAGCGAAACGTTTGAAATTTAATGAAGAAGAACATTTTCACGCTAAAACAAATGACATCTACTGAAAACGACGCGAAATGACAGTACCTTTGAAATGAATATAGCCACAGATGAGCACGACGCGAAATAAACCGAAAACCGCACGAACTAAGGCATACACCTAATATTGGATGAGTGCATAAGTTCGTTCCCGATTCCCCTGGATGCCGTTCGAATCGTTTGAGAGTGGCGCTCGTGAAAGAAATATATATTGTACATATTATATATCGTTGGAAAGGTGACAGTCCGAACTGTAAATCAAGCATAAAATAACTTCACTTTGATTTGAGTTGCTTAGTGAAAAGACGCATGGAAGATGGACAACGAAAAAGATCATATGCCTCATATTATGTTATACGAATTCCGCAAAGGAAAAACAGTAGGCGCTGCAACTAAAGACATTCGCGAAGTTTATTTGGACCGTGCTCCAGCACTCCGCACAGTAAAGAAATGGTTCGCGAAATTTCGTTCTGGAGATTTTAACCTCGAAGATCAACCTCGCAGTGGACGGCCTTCTGAGCTTGATGACGATGTTCTAAGGACTTTAGTTGCGAATAACTCACGTATTTCGACGGAAGAGGTTGCCAGTGAATTGAACGTCAACAAATCAACTGCGTTTCGTCGTTTAAAAAAGGTTGGGTACACTTTGAAGCTCGATACATGGGTGCCACATCAGTTGAGTGAAAAAAACAAAGTGGACCGTATGTCAACAGCAATTTCTTTGCTTCGACGGATCAAAAACGAACCTTTTTTGGATCGGCTCGTGACTGGTGATGAAAAATGGATCCTGTACAACAATGTTCAACGCAAAAGAACATGGAAACAGGCACACGAAGGGGCGGAACCGATGTCGAAAGGTGGATTGCATCCGATGAAGGTACTGCTGTGCATTTGGTGGGATATCCGAGGCGTGATCTATTTTGAGCTCTTGCCAGCTGGAGAAACGATCACTGCCAACAAGTATTGTCAGCAATTGGTCGAATTGAAGAAAGCAATTGATGAAAAACGTCCGATTTTGGCCAATCGCAAAGGAGTTCTTTTCCATCATGACAACGCCAGGCCACATGTTGCAAAACCGACCCTGGCCAAACTGAAGGAGATGAATTGGGAAATCATGCCGCATCCCCCATATTCACCCGACATTGCACCTTCTGATTATCATTTGTTTCGATCGCTGCAGAACAATTTGAATGGAAAAAAATTTAAAAATGTGGAAGACGTCAAAAACCACCTTGACACCTTTTTCAACGAGAAACCGCGCGATTTCTATGAATCAGGCATCCGTAAATTGGTTGAATGTTGAGAGTGGATTGCCGAACATGATGACGAATACATAATTGATTAATAAAAGCGTTTTCTTTAAAAAATTTCAAATTTAGCTTGCACTTGAAATCGGGCACGAACTTATGCACTCATCCAATAATTGACAATAAAATTAATAATAATAATTTAGGTCTAGTAAAACGTTATTATCGAGAAAAAAACTCTTTTCACACCAAAGGAATTTATTTATTAAAACTGCTGAAATTAAACCTAACAATAAGTTCTAGAGTCTTAATAAGTAATAAATTACTGGTTTAGTCTATTAATAGGAATGGATGTCAGGTAAAACGTTGATCTACAAAAAGCTATTAGATCCCTGCATCGAAGGCGAGTTCGACTTGCTGCGCAGGATAAAACGTTCGCTAGAGGATGGGGATGATTTTGGCATTTCGAGAGGTATTTCGTCAGGCATTTCTCACTTCTATGTTTATCATTAGTATTGCCAGGTATCTATGTATATTTTCGTTGCGCATATACCGAGGTGCACCCGTAAGGTATTGTAGCGTTTATTGGAGCCGCTATATTTTATGGATACTACAATAGTTGCGCAGGAAGAGCTACATAATTCCATACTTGGCTTTATGACAGAATTTTATGATCCAAGCATACACCTGATTTTTATCCAGTAACCAATTTATGCTGGCGGTTTTAACTTCGAGATGTGTATTTATGAAGAAATATGGCTCTACCGGGTCGGCTGCCTGTCTAGGTGGATGCCGAGGTAATTTAACTTGGCACTTGGTCTGACATAAAATAGTGGTATCGTCGAATGTTGAGGTTAATACTTTTGGAATGTTTGCAGTAATTACTGTATGTCTTGTAATAGTTCCAAAATGCTGCTTTAAGGAACAACAGCCATAATTGAACATTCGTCTGAGATAAATTCCTTTCCTTTCTTTCATTAACCTTAAACCTTCTGTTAGTAATGTTTCTTAAGATCTTCAGAAAGTATTTGCCAGAGTCATTTAATTTTGTATATATGTAAGTCCTTCATGTCATACTTTATCGAATGCTTGAACCATCAAGCCATCAAGAATATTGTTGAACAATACTCTCTCAACTAAATTTCCTTTCTGATCTCATTGGTAATGCAATGGACTTCTTCTGTAGTACCATGTTTTTCACGAAAACCCAATTGATGGTTTGATATGGTTCTGTGTTCGTGCAGGAGTTCGGAAAGGACGCTCAATAAGCTAATTGGCCGATATGATGAAGGCAACGTAGCGTCTTTTTCGGGTTCGGCTAATATGATAATTTGCGACTTTTCTCACGCATTCGCAAAATATCCAAGTTCAAAGATGGCATTAAAAGGTTGAGACAAAAAATTGAAAGCAATATTTGGCTGCTCTGCTAGCATTTGTGGTATGCGGTCGTAACCAGGCGAGTTTTTGATATTTAATGTCTTTACAATGACTTTTATCTTAGATGAGGTCGGAGGCCGGAAATAGTCTGAGTGGCATAGTGAGACAAAAATGGAACCGCCAAACTGTTCATTGCTGCATTGGGTTGGTGGTTCGTTTTGTACTTGGAAGACTCTCTCTTGGTGTTGGTGTTGAAAAGAAACAGTTGAAAAATTTAATTTTTTTCTCCTCTATAGCCAAGATTGTAACCGAACTTCTACTATCAACAAATCGGACCGTCTGAAGGAAGAAATCGACACATCGATAGTAACTTGCCAGAAGCTCCTAGAGCTTGGTTGGGGGATTCTTAAGCACTCACTTCAATGTTGACAGTCATATCTTTGAAGTCGGAATTAACTTCGTCTATTTTGGAACCACTATTAGCACCAACAGCAATCCAGCCTTGAAGTCCAACGCAGGATCACTCCTGCCAACCGGTGCTACTTTGGACTGCGTAGGCAATTGAAAAGCAAAGTCTTATCTCAACGAGCAAAGACAAAACTTGAAAGTTGCTTAACGTTCACGTTCTGCTCTATGGTGTGGAGGAATGGACGATGACAGCATCCGAAGAGTCGGCGTTAAGAGTTTTCGAGAGAAAGGTTTTGCGTAAGATTTATGGTACTTTCCGAGTTGTGAATGGCGAATAGTTAACGCAGCCGATAGAATGATGAACTGTACGATATAAACGGCGGCATTGACATAGTTCAGCGAATCAAGAAACAGCGGCTACGCAGTACCCGCCGGTGGAAGTAGAGGAACAGGAATGCCTACACTCCAATGGAAAGAACAGGTAGAGAAGTACCTGGTCGTACTTGGTACTTACGTTTGGCACCAAACAGCGAACTGAAGAATAGAATGGTGCAACGTTGTTAACTCGGCTATAATCCCGTAAGCGGTGTCTACGCCAGCAGAGAGGAAGATTGTAAATGTGAAGTGTTGCTAAATATGTAGAATGTAACTCAGAGCGAAGATTCTCTTAGTCTGAGTGTCGCTTTGTAGCCAGTTGCTTGTAGTATAGGTCTAAGGGCAGTAAATCTAGTAGTTAAGACGGTGTTACCCCACGAGCGCCACTAACACTTATTTTCGATATACTTCGCCATGTATTTCTATTCCATTATTGGTCACCAAACCAATAGACTTTAAGTAAAAAAAAGTAAGTTCATATAAAATAATAAATTTAAAACTATATTAAAAAGTTTCCTTCTTTTTTCAACAATGACTGAAAATACAACAGCTCTGACAATAAGATTGAAAATTGGTTTCTGTGCGTAGAAGTGGGGAAAAAGTTCTGGCGGCAGTTAAGAAAGTCCCTTTGTAGTTGGAATAGGCAGCGGAAACACCGCAGCAACAGAAACGCATAATAAGCGAACTCATGGCAATTATGCAAACAAGTCAGAAAAGTCTGGAAGTGCGTGCGATTTAGAAAACTTCAGCTTTGCGAGTAAAGTGGCCGAATTTTAATATTCAGAAGATATTTACATAGTTGCTCAATTGTCATTTTTACGTTTCTTCTCTTTTGACAAGCCTTGTTGCAGGCAACATTTCACTGGAAATAAAATGGTTGTTGCTAGCGAAATTTCACGGCTGTGAACTCAATATTAGCCACTAAGATTAAAGAAAACCATAATTTTACATTTTTGCAAGGAGCTGCAAATAGAGGAAAGAATTAGCTATAACAGCCTTGATACCCAATCTACACACTACATACTCATTGTCTTTTGGAACAACGAAGACAACATAGATAGTTCGGAGATGAATACAATCAACGCCTTCGAACAGAGTGGTGTAGTGTCGAGAGAGTGAAACTTTCGCATTACTTGAATTAAATTGAAGCAATTAAAAAAATTTGAAATCATTATTACATTGGCATTTTGTGGGCTAAATACGTATGATCTTAATTTCGATAGCATTTTAAAATTCGTTACTATAAATTATTATTAATAAATTCTCATTCGTACAAAAATTATTCATCGGAAACCCGAGTCTTCTTACTGAAAACTGACAAATCACTATTCGCTTTTTGACCGAATTTAGCTTTAAAAAATTACTCGTATTGTTTTTTATTAAATTTTTGAGAAATGTGAGTATATCAAAGTACAGAAGCCCGGAGCTACGTTAGCTTGAATTGGGTCAGCGGCACTAAAATGCTAGCAGAAGGCTATTTATACGCTCTTTTAGGAGGTGACGTAGCATTAAATATTATTCAGAAGAGTGAAAGTAATATCCTACTCGTTTTATGTCGTAGTAATGGAATATGTTACTTTTATGGATATTGAAGTTAAGCTGAAATTATGCGCAAATAGCTTGCATAACTGCCTCACATTTCCTTGTAGCCTTGTAACAAAGAGCACTTATTGGGTGTTAACATGCCCATAAGGGGAATTAATAAAACAGAACGAAATAAGATCAACATATGTATGTTTTTCAATTGTATCCATGCACTTATTAGATGGAATAAAGTTTCAGGTTCAATATGGCAAAAGATCATATGCTCGTTTCAGGAATTCGGCGATTGGACGATGTCAAAACTTATTGTTCACTATGGCTGTGGTGATATAAGATCCCAGTGGTTCTGAAGGTTCCAAGCAACTACCGCAGAGAAACGTTTGCGTGCATTACCAATCGATAGGCAAGTCGCTAAATAGTGGTAATGCAGCATTTAACTGTGAAGTTATTAATAATATAAATAATAAATAAAAATATACAAGCACATCTACTTTAATAAATCATGATGTCGCTAACTCGGAGGCCTCAATGAAATAATCAGCCACTTAGCACCAGTCAAATCGATAGGTCACCTTAATGCAAAGTCGTACCTAACCCTCCCCCCCACACGTTAAATTCGTTAGGAAAGCGAATGGATGTTTATGAAGTTGTGACCAGCACTCACTCCTCACTTCTAGTTAAATCGTCAGTGGTTAACTGAAATAGTCGATCGATCTCTGATAATAGCAACGTGTGTCAGTGTAGTACCATAGAAGTGGAAAAGGACAACGGATAAAAACATACATACGTGTATAAATCTTTTTCTAAATATTTCCATTTGACATTTTTTTTAGCTGCTCCGCGTTAACGGAGTGGTTAGCAGTGTGTGCTATCGTAGGGTGGGGTCGTGGGTTCGGGTTCTGATGAGACTCACATCCAAAAATTTCGATTTTACTCTTCGAGAATATTTCTGACATGATATTAAAGGCCAAAAAATCGATTTAGCGGTTATAAAGCGCCAATTATATACAATATATATTTAGGGCCAAATAAAAGTCACTTTTATTAATTCAAGTTTACAATTTATTTTAAACAATATTTAAATTCAAAATATATTTTAACACAAAATTTTTATCGACGATAGACGTCCGTGTTTGTTCGTGGTAGCGCAGTAACTGTCGTTTTTTGTTCAGTTCGTTCGTTAGTAAAAATTTTATGTCCGGGTTTACGTGTTGTCAGTATCAGTGTTGTATTCGTCCGTGAAAGTTACTTTATAATGTCCTAATGTACTGTACACACGTTCCCACATATATATATATATATATATATATATATTAAAGGCAGTGAATACGTATATATAATGTGTACATATGTTATAATTTTAGAAGCTTTTATTTCATTTCATAAAAACACTCAGAGACGTTGAATTTCAATAAAACTTTTGTTGTTGGTATGAGCAGGATTCAAACACATGACCTTCCGCTTATTATGGCCAACAATTATGGAAACACTTATAAATTATGTGAAAAAATATCTGTTTTTGAGTTTTAAGTGCAGCACTGCTTTTATATATGTACATTATGTATGAATGAATGTACACGTATGTATACACATACATATGTAGGTATATCGGTTTATGGAATATTAGCTTGCTGTAAATCTGATGCACGTAATTGGCTTCACGACTTGCCACGCCATTTAGTTGAGAATATTTCCCTTCAAAACATTCTCCCCTCTGTATTCATTTTCCATTTTTAATACTCTCGTATAAAAAAAAATATATCTCATTTTATCGTCAATAAAATACAAATTTAACTATGCGCTTGTATAACTTTGCTTCGTTTGTCATTTATTACGTTTTTCGATGTAGGTATCGATGGGGTAACCTCTTTTATCTCATCAAAATTCGACACACACACACATGTATGATAGTACTCATGTCTGGTGTGAACGTTCATCGACAGTATACTTGTATGGGACACTCTTTTTTTAAAAAATACCCAATTAAAATAGGCCATAGGTGATCGTTTTTCATTTAAACATGTCGTTCATAGACATTTCTCAAGCCGATATTTCTTTAAATGTACAATATATAATATATTAATGTACAAGTATTTGAATTGGGCCTGTGATTTCTCAACTTTTTTCTCTTTTTTTTTTGAAAAATTAACAACACAAAGCGTCTTTATTAAATAGTTATTGAAATTTCGAACTCATTTAAAAGTCGCTCTTCAAAATACTTCGGCTTGATGGGAGTGTAAATCGTTCACTGGGGACCCAGTTTGCCACTTTTGTATTTACCGTTGGTATTTCAAGGTATATCGGATTTGTGTACACTGGGATTTTTGACTTGAAGAAAATAAAATAAAATTAAAATCCCTCAGACGCTATTGAAGACATCAACGGTGACCCATGCTTTCTCGAAGGATATATGTTTATGACGTCTATTCCAAGACCCAATCATCCCAATGGAAGCCGCAAGATGAGCCAACATCGAAGAGTTGAAAAAGCAGGTGCACACAAAAACGCGACTACCTTTCATTTGTCAATAACAAATTACAAATTAGCTGATAATTTCAACATATGTGTACCAACAATAAAATTCCATAAACGAATATACACAGCCCGCAATGATTCATAATTCGGCCATCCTTTTGAGCAGACCTTGTACCACGGTTCCTAGTTGGATGCCGAGTTATTTTACTTCGCTTACTTGGGGGGATCACTTCACTGTTTAGCTTAAGAGTTGGACATGTTTTCTTTTCAGTGCGTTCATGACTTGCTTACGCTTTTCTCCCTTTTCTTTTATACGCCAGCTTGAAAGCCAATTTCGGATGAGTCTTAAGTGATTTTCCATTGTGGTAGATGTTTTTATTGAGTACTGCGAATGTTGAGTTTAGTATTTTTGCGCTCGTTGGTATGACTGATGTAATATTGGTTCCAAAATGTTACATTGGGAAACACACCAGTCCTTATTGGGTACTCCTCTGAGCCAAATTCCTTTGCTTTAACTGTGAACCGCTTGCGAGTAAGAAACGTTTGCAAATTTGAATGATGCAAATCTGACGGCAAAGTAATTGTAATTTTGCTTATGAGTCCTTCAAACGCCTGGCCTCGGTAAATATTGCTGAATTATACTCGTTCAACTCAAATGTCTTCCTGATCTCATTGGAATGTAATGAACTTGTTACATAGTACCTCGTTTTTCTCGAAAACCGAATCGTTATATTGGTCTAACATGCAACTTTAATCACTTTTTTGGAAATATTCACATATTAAATTTGAAGATGGTTTTACAAAGTTGAGACAAAAAAGTGAAAGTAGTTTTGTCGTAATGATGATTTTTTAACTTCAAGGTTTTTGATATGACTTTCACCACAGATGCGGTTGTACTCATTTGGGGAATAGTCATAAATATATTTGAAATTAATCATTGCCTTACGATGACTTGCAAAACATTTTGTCTTTTCTTCTTCAGAACGGCTCTAGTATCTGTTCTCGTTGCCAATTTGTACACGTGGCTTAAAGTTGTTTGGCTTTCCGAAGTGAATTTCTTTGAGAAGAATGCGGAGTCATAGTAGTAATAAATCTTCTCAGCAACTTTTACTTTTATATTAAATGAAGGGGATCGATTATTCTGCCATTTTCAGAAGAAGCTATTGAGGGCGAACAGTCTGATCAAATATCTTTGAATTCTTAAATGTGCCCATGCACATGTATATGTGGGGCTGGCTTGGAATGCAATTGGAACTGATTTCACATCGATTTCATTTCCCCACTTGGAATCAAAAAGGTGCATGCCGAGTATCCGATAAAATCGAACAAAGAGGAAATCACTAAACCGCGTTCTTTGAGTCAAAAAACCTATTAAAATTTGCAATGGCAGAACAATTTAGACATTTAGCTAAAGGGAGAACTCCTAATTCGTATTTCGAGAGAAATTTTAAGGGGCACACCTAGTGTAATGGCCTAAAAAGGGGTGATTTTTGGGAATTT